AAGGAAAGGAAGGATAGGAAGAAACAAGAAAGGAAGGAAGGGAAGGAGGAAAGGGAAAGAAATGGAAGAGAAGGGAAGAGAAGAGAAAGAAAGAGAAGGAAAGAGAATGGAAAAAGAAACGAAGGAAGGAAGGAGAAAGGAATGGGACTGATGGCTACCTGTAATAATAATAGACAGCAAAGCACTTTATAAATATATCACTTGATCCTCACAGCAACACTGGGAGGTATGTGTTATTATTGTCCCCATTTTACTGATGAAGAAACTGAGGCAGGAGTAGTTAAGTTAATTATCCAGGATCATAAAGCTAGTATCTGAAGCCAAATTTAAAATCAGGCTTTTCTGACTCCAGATCCAGTGCTCTATACACTGAATCACCTAGTTGCCCCTAAGAAACTCTTCTCATAGTGAATGTGGATTCTCTCTGGTTAAGTATGTTTACATACACATTGGATAATAGTTTCCAAGTGGGAAGGAACCTCTGCAGTCACCTAATCCAACATCTTCATTTTATAGATGAGATATCTGAGGGCCAGGGCCATAAATCGACTTGTTAAATGTCACAGAAATAGCAAGCAACAGAGTTTGAATTCAAACCCTGGTCCTTTGACTCTAAAGAGGCATATCTCCATTTTCCATTTTACTATGTCTTCGCTAAAAGCACCATTTTTGGCCACTTCTCTTGACATTGGCGATATAAAAATATGGCTATTATTATCTCACCCATTACTATTATATTGTTGCTAATAATAATTCAGAGTGGTATCTCTCTTTCAATTCAGATATTGATCTAGAACAGAGGTGTTGTGTGCAGGCCACATGTAGGCCACCACAGCACTCCAACTGACGGGGATTAGGGGGGAGGTAGGGATTAAAATGTAACTGGAAGATATTTGACTAAATAAATAAAAATGCAATAAAACACAGATAATGTTAATATCTGTTTTTCTAAACCAATATATGCCCACAGGGATCCTTATGTATGGTTCAGTGGTTCCACTTCTCCTTGAGTTTGACACTATTGATCTGGAACAATGAAAGAACAGTCTATTATTTGTCTCAGAGTCAAAATTTGGATAATATTTGACTATTTACCTCACAAATTTGTGAGGAAAGTGGTTTGCAGACCTTAAAGTGCTACAGAAAAGTGTTATTGCTATCTATTTACATTATTGGGATTGCTGAACTCTCATAGTATATTTAAGCATGAGGGAGGAGATTTGTATTGCTGCTCAAAAATATTTAGTTTCTTCCTAATGTCTATTGTCCAAAGCTCAAACGATTTTTTCCTGGCATCCTCTATTCTCTTCTCTTTGGAACATCTTCATTCTCTCCTTGAGTAGGCAAAAGTTACAGTGGGAAGAAAGAACACTGGCTTCCAAGTCAGAATATATGGGTTCAAATTCTCCATTGGATACTTGTTATTATATATTGTAATATTATAATAATATAAATTGTTATTTATTATTTTTCATTATTTGTGTATAATGTTATATATTATTAGCTTTGTGTGAGGTCACACAAAATCATTTAACCTTTCTGGGCCTTATTTGCTCTGCTGTAAAATGAAGAGATCGGACTTCCACTTACGTATCTGTGGTCCTAAAATGCTGAATCTCCACGTCCTCTTAATTCTGCAGCTAGCATTTATATAATGCTTTGAAGTCTGCAAAGCACTTCACAAATTTATTTCACTTGATCAACAACTCTGGGAGGTAGATGCTATTATTGTCCCTATTTTACAGATGAGGAACCTGAGGCATAGAAAGGCTAAGTGACTAGTCCAGGGTTATACAGGTAGTGATTGAAACTGGATTTGAAAAGTTCAACACATAATAATAATAATTATGATAGCTAGCATGTATATAGTGCCTACTATGTGCCAGAGACTATGCTAAGTACTTTACAATTTTTATCTCATTTGGTTCTCACAGCAACCCTGAGGGATAAGTGCTATTATCAGCCCCATTTAACAGATGAGGAAACAGGCAAACAAAGGTCAAATGACTTGCTTAGGGTTACATAGCTATTAGATTTTAACTAAGATCTTCTTGTCTCCTGGCTCAGTGCAACCTAGCTAATTACTTAACTTCCTTCAGAAAGCCTTCTTTGATCCTTGATTGAGACATCTTATATTTAAAGAGTACTTTGTTTTATACATTTCTAATGCACTTACTGTGCGTTATTACTGTGTTTTATTATCTGGGATATATTTTGACCCCTTATTTCATTAAGTCCCATAAGAGGTGGGATTCAGACTTACCTAACTTTATCATCACAGTATTCCACATAGAGTAGGCATCTAAAATATTTAAATGTTGAATGAATGAAAAGAATGCAGGTGCATATGCATTTAATTTTCTTAATGATGATAAATTTCTATGCACTTGAATGGTACAACCACTGAAAGCAATCTTCTCTTGTGGATTGACTTTTTTCCATCTTTATTTTTTCATCATCTCTTATTCTGTCTGTACTGTGATTTCTTTGGAGGGAGGGGAGATTTGAATGTCAGGAAACGACTAAGAAAGGGATCTATACACAAGTGATTTTCAAAACAAAGAAATGAAAAATGGAGCCTACAACCAATGAGATACCCAATAACAAAAGGAATGACCAGTTAATAAATTGTGCTGACCTCATAAGAACTTTCTCTCTTCCTCTGGCACCATTACACAAACTCTTCATGTTCAGGAAGCCAAACTTCTCATTTTGCATGTAAACTTTTAGCCATTTAACCTCAGGGTGATACTCCAATGCTAACCACATTCAGATTTACTAATGACTATAAATTTAAGTGAGAGCCAAATCCAATGTCCTGCTTGCAGGTTTCAAATTCTGGTTTTGTAAGTAATAAATAAATGCTTAACTGTGGAAATCTACTCTTTTGTGATTTTATAGTTACAATATGCTCAGTAGGTTAGTATGTGAGGGGCTATGGAAATGTAGAGGGGAGCTAGGTGGTGCAGCGAATAGAGTGCAGGGCCTGGAGTCAGGAAGACTGAGCTCCCTGAGTTCAGATTTGTCCTCAGACACTTACTAGATGTGTGACCCTGGACAAGTCACTTAACGCCGTTTGCCTCAGTTTCCTCATCTGTAAAATGACCTGGAGAAGGAGATGGCAAACCACTCCAGTATCTTTGCCAAGAAAACCCCAAATGGGGTCACAAAGAGTGGGGCACAAAACAGATGACTGAACAACAACAGCAAAATGGAGATGTAGAGAGGCAGAGTCAGGTATTAGATAGAGGGCTGGCCGTGGAGTTAGGAAGACCTGGGTTATAACACAGATTAGCTGTGGACAACTCTCTAAGACTGTAAGTTACAGATAAATTATGTATGTGCAATGGTAAATCCTTGGATTACATGCCTCTCCCTCTTTCCCTCCCTCCTAATTCAGCCTACAAAGTAAATTTAACAGTTTATTAGTTTTACTTAGGGCAGATAGGGGGCACAGTGGATAGAGTGCGGGCTTGAAGTCAGACGACTCATCTTCCTGAGTTCAAATCCAGCCTCAGACACTTACTAGCTGTGACGCTGGGCAAGTCACTTCACCCTGTTTGCCTCAGTCTCCTCATCTATAAAATGAGCTGGAGAAGGAAACTGCAAACCATTCCAGTATCTCTGCCAAGAAAACCCCAAAATGGGGTCACAAAAAATACTACCAAAAAAAAATTTTTCAATGCATTTTCAATGCATTCATCTTCATATACCAATAACAGATTTTCTGTACCACGGCACCTGTACCAAATGAGTTTATATTTATATTATCTTTTTGAGTTTATATTTATATTAAAGTGATTGATGTGTGTAGGTGTGCACTAGTTTGAGCAAATTCTTTATAAAAGCTCTAATTTATAGAAAACAAACATTACAAACTAAAATGATGTGGACTAAGCTAGATCATCCCTATGATCTCTTCCAACTCTAAAATTCCATGATTTTATGTTTCTTCTCTTTATGAGGAAGGGCAGAGTGGTATATACAGAAGGCAGGAAGATCCAGATTCAATTCTACCTCTGACATGTACTGGCTGTGAGACCTTAGGCAATTCACTTAACGTCTAAATGTTCTAGGCAACTTTCTAAGACTATGAGAAGCAGAGAAGATGCCAACCTGCATTAGTAGAAGAAGCGTCCTCATCCAAGAGCTCATTCCAAGGAAATCACAGGTCCAGTCCCTGTCCTTTTATAAAAGGTTTCACCAAAGAGTTCCTTTAAATAGCAAGCTCTCCTAGCACACTGAAAGCATGATTTGATATGTTGTTTGTTTTTAAATCAACTTATGTTCAACTTTACTGAACACATCTACTATATGAAATGAGGCATACACACATGTACATAATCTGACTAGTACATCACTTTGGAAACATCTATAAATACAAGAAACAACAGCAAAAAAAAAAATACATATTCTTTGAAGGGATATGACTTTTTCTTCAGAGACCAGTAAAATTAAGAATGACCGTACCCACTTGTCTCTTTGAGAGTGAGTGTGTGTGTGTGTGTGTGTGTGTGTGTATAGATAAAGAATTCCCAAAGTATTGGATAATATACTTAAATAGACCATTTAAAATACCATACACAGATCTTAGACCTTGTTCTCCTCTCTGGCTGAGTTCCAACTGGAGTAAATGTAAGTCACTGAAGAGAGGATAGTGATATTTAATTCATACAGACTTATTTGGACATAGTGACAGAGATAAAGCAGAGTGATGAACAAGGCAGACAAATACACAAATTCCAAAAGGGACTCTCCCAACCCCTAATATTACTGGTTTCACTGTGGTGACCTCTCATAGGGTCACAAGATACTAAAGATATTTCTTTTCTTTGCCTCACACAGTTCTTGGGAGGGGGCTTGCTTGAGAAAGGATGTCCAACAAGACTTAGTCCGGAAGAAAGGCATCTGGGTGAGAGGGCCATCATTAAAGTTATCAGGGAAAAAAGGACACCGGCCCTGGTTTGGCTTTCATAAACACAGAATTCCTCCAGACTTACCAGCTACCCTGCTCGTCCCGTCTTGCTCAGGAGATGATTCTGTTGTTCGTGAATAGAGGATTGGCAAGTCAGGGGGCTGGGTGGAAATGTAATTTACTGCATCTAGCGTCAGAGAACAGGGAACACAATTAGGGACAGTGGCTTCACTGCTTAGGCAGCAGCATGCTCACTTATCAGCCACACACAATAGACATCAGGGCTTCCCACTGAATAACTGGATAAGGCAAACAAAATGTAGAGCCATTTGCCCAGGGACTAGGTCTCAATAGGCTAGCTGAGGTAGGAGGGAATTGGTCCAGATGAGTCCAGCTCTGGGACCATTGCGTGTATTCAATTATTTGTCAGGAGGTTTTGGATCTAGCAAAGCACTGACCTCGAAAAGGATATAAAGAGATAGGGACAGCCTGGTGGCACTGATGAATGAGCGATGTCTAAATAAACCGGTGTAACGTACTATTTTAAAATACATCTTGGGTTTGCCTTCTATAGGAGAAAGACTAATAGTTAATTGACTCATTACTACTGATATTTTTGGATATGTGTTCAAATGTCATAGAATTTGTTCTCTGAAATCAATACTGCAGACAATCCGGTTTAACTGGTGAAGATGAGTAGTGAGATTCGGATGAACTCACATTGACTTGTACCTCAGAAACTCAACCTATTGGAAAGGAGCTGTCTTTTTATTCGTTTATTCATTTATTTATTTATCTATCTATCTGTCTGTCTGTCTATTTATTTATTTATTTTTTGGGTCAGGCGTTGCTATTAAGTGATTTGTCCAGGGTCACACAGCCAGTAAGTACTATGTGTCTGAGGCTGAATTTGAGCTGAGGTCCTCTTGACTCCAGGGCCAGCGTTCTATCCACTGCACCACCTAGCTGCCCCAAAGGAGCTGTCTTCAAGTGACATGGGCTAACTTGGGAGGAAATAGCCTCCCTTCCTTGCCCTTCTGTGTACAGAAGCTGCAGCTAGGTGGGGCAGGAGATAGAATGCAGGGTCTTGAGTCAAAAAGACTCACCTTTCTGAGTTCAAATCCAGCCTCAGACATGTACTAGCTGTGTGACCCTGGACAAGTCACTTCACTCTGTTTGCCTCAGTCTTCTCATCGGCAAAATAAGCTGGGGAATGAAATGACAAACTATTCCAGTACCTTTGCCAAGAAGACCCCAAACAGAGTCATGAAGAGTTGGACATGACTTTAAAATGACTGAAAAATACCATATAGAAGCTGGATGAACACCTCACAGGGATCCCTGTTCAAGTATAGATTGGATTAGGTGACATCTGATATACCTTCTCACCCTAGGAGTACTGTGATTCTGAGATGCTGGCTTCCTGAGGTCATTTTTATGAAGATAAATATGGTAGTATTCTGCAGAATGAACTGGAGGTGGAGAGACCAGTTGGGAGGCAGATGGGGGTAGTTCAGGCTTGAAGGAGCCAGGGTCTGAACTAAGATGGCACTAGGCTCAAGAATTCAGGGTATGACTGTTCTATGCAAAGCAGTGATGAGATTCCATGAGTATTACAACTATTAGAGGTATAATTGGGGTTTTGAACCCTAAGTCTATTATTTGTTACTAAATATTCTCGGAGGTGATGAAGCCTCTCTAAGAAGAAACTAGTCTGTGAGAAGAAAATAAGCAGGAAATTATCCCTCTTTCATAATAACTGATATTTTACAGAATGCTTTTAAGGTCTGCAAAGAACTTTCCAGTATTAGCTCAATTTAGCCTCACATTTTACAGATGGAGTTCTTTCCCATCCTAATTCACAGACCCCCTGAGGTCTATCTCTGTTAAGAGAGAAAGATGGCCTTAGGAAGCTTGAGTTCAAATCATCTTTAATACAGATTGTTTCTGTGACTCTGGGAAAATCACTTAACCTCTCAGAACTATAGACAACTGAGATGCTAAATTACAGAGCAGGTGACAGTCTGAACTGGGAGTTCCTTTACTAGGAATTAGTTCCTTATACCAATGAAATTATAGGTTTGATCTCCCTGCCCCCAAAAAGTGCTATATAAATTTAACATTATTATCATCATTTTCACTGATTCCACAACTATGTTAGATACTTCCACTCCTTTCTATATCACAGTTACATACATACTTACTCCTCAACCTCTTGCAATCTGTCATCTAAAGAACAGTTTAAACTGAGTGGTAAGAGCAGAGGTCAACATTATTGTTCAGTTGTTTTCAGTCATGTCCGACTCTTCATCACCCTATCTGGGATTTTTCTTAGCAAAGATACTGGAGTGGTTTGCCATTTCCTTCTCCAATTTATTTTATAGATGAGGAAACCGAGGCACACAGGGTTAAGCGATTTGCCCAGGGTCACAGAACTAGTAAATGTCTGAGGCCAGATTTGAACTCAGGAAGATGAGTCTTCCTGATTCCAGGGCTTGCACTCTAACCACTGTGCCATCTGGCTGTCCACAACTGTAGAAGTCAATAGTGGCCTCTTAATTCCCAATCCAGTGGGTTACCTCCTCAGGTATCATCATGCTCCTTGACCTCTTTGAAGAATTTTATATAGGTGACCACACCCTTCTTGAAACTCCTCCTTTGGTTTTTGTGATGCCACATTCTTAGCAGTACCCTTCTGCTCCCACCCACTAGTAAGGTTTATGGTAATTACAGAGTAGATCTGGTAACTCTGAAAGCCTTGGAAAACAGGGCCAATCAAAAGACCTGGGTTGTAGTTATCAGCTAATTTGTACATATTTGTGTCAGGGTGCACACATGCACAGACTTCCACAGCATAGCCACTGGCAGAAGTTAGTAACTCCTAGGTGACTTTATTAAAGGGGTAGAGATGTGATCCAAAAGTTTTCAGGTTTCCTTTTGTGTCATCAAACATGGATATGTGAAGTGGGCGGAATAAAACTGGGTCTCTTTAGCAGCCTTGCTTCATTTCTCTGGTTATAGGGACAGCTCTGACCTGGTTCCATTATAACATTATAGATTATAGGCTCTTAATGATGTGGAGGGGAGTCTTTATTTATTTATTTTTTTTCTCTCTAGGAGTGCAGGGCTATTAACCGAACTTTTGAGGTCAGGGACTTTTTTTTGGTCTTTCTATTCTAAGCTCTTAGTAAACGTTTGTTGAATCAAATTAAAGTTTTTTTTTTTAATTAGATCTGCGATTTTATTGGCATAGGGAATTCTCAGTAAGGAAATTACTCCTACCAATGCAAATGGTACTTGCTGTGCAATTTATAGTTTTAGAGATTTGTTTGGGGGCACTGAAAGATTAAGTGAATTGTTCAGAAAGTATGTTTAAGAGGCAGGATTCCAACCCAGGTCTTCTCAACTCTGAATCTGGTGATTTATCTACTATATCACAGCTTCTATAAACAGAAGATTAATGATTAATATGGAAAGCTCATGGTAATGGTCTACCACATTTTATATTCAGCACAGCTCATACCAACCATTCTTGCAACACCATCGTGTGAGTTAACAATACATGATGATTCTTGGAAGATTTGTCTCATAGTGTCATTCATCAAAAAGGCTTCTCTGACCATGAGTCTGCCAATGCTCAAGCCACGACCTAACATAATATTCACCTTCCGTCAGCCTGAGATTCAAGGTTCTCCATAGTTGGATGCTACCATATCTTCACAGCTTTTCCTGACACCCTTCTCCATCATGTCTGTTAGACTCTAATCAGACTAGCTTATTCACTGTCCCCTGGACAGATCTGCACTTTACTCTTTGGTTGTGCCATTCTTTGTCCCTATAACATCTTTTGCCAATATCACTAAGTATTCATTGAACAAACCTTTAATTCAGTAAGCATTAATTGAGTTCTTATTGTATTGAAAGGCATAATTTAATGTCGTGAGGATAAAAAAAAGAAAAGAAATATAGTACCTGCCCTCAAAGAGCCTGGAATCCAGTTGGAGGAAAGAGACATGAACACAAATAACCTCCAACTTAGAGAATGATTAAGCACATAGAAGAGTGACCTGAGATATTCAAGAAAGGAGGGGAAACTCTGTGTGTGTGTGTGTGTGTGTGTGTGTGTGTGTGTGTGTGTGAACAAAATCCTGAAATTTTGAGTCTGCATGACTGGGAGAATAAAATAAAAATAAAGAGAAAGTTGGTCTTCTCAATGAGGGTGGGGAAAGAGGAAGGGAGAGAATTTGGAACTCAAAGGTTTAAAAACAAATGTTAAAAATTGTTTTTACATGCAACTGGGAAATAAGATATACAGACAATGGGGTACAGAAATCTATCCTGCCCTACAAGAAAATAGAAGGGGAAGGGGATAAGAGAAGGAGGGATGATAGAAGGGAGGGCAGATTAGAGGAAAGGGTACTGAGAATGCATGCTGTCAGGGCAGATAGGTGGTACAGTGGAGAGAGCACCGGCCTTGGATTTAGGAGAACCTGAGTTCAAATCCAGCCTCAGACACTTAACACTTACTAGCTGTGTGACCCTGGGCAAGTCACTTAACCCCACTGCTTAGCCAAAAAAAAAAAAAGAAGAAGAGAATGCATGCTGTCTTGGGGTAAGAAGTGGGGAGAGATGGGGAGAAAATTTGGAACTCAACATCTTGTGGAAGTGAATGCTGAAAATGAAAAATAAATTAATTAATTTTTTTAAAAAGAGGAAAGTTGGTAAATTCAGTTTACCACAAGTTAAATTTGAGGTACGCTTCTGAGGCCAGAACTCACCATTTGACAAAAACTGCTGGGGAAAATGGTAAGCAGTTTGGTATAAAGTAGGCATATTGACCAATATCTCATACCATATACCAAAATAAGGTCAAAATGGGTAAATGATTTAGACATAGAGGGTGATATCATCAGTAAATTAGGGGGGCATGGAAAAATTTACCTCTCATCTATGGATAAGGGAAAAATTTATGACAAAATTAGAGATGATCACAGGAAGTAAAATGGATAATTTTGATCAAATGAAATTAAAAAAGGTTTTACACAAACAAAACCAATGTAGCCAAAATTAGAAGGAAAGTGGCAAAAAAATGTTCATAGCAAGTATCTCTGATAAAGGCTTCATTTCTCAAACATATAGAAACTAAGTCAAATTTATCAAAATAAGAGCTATTCCCCAATGGATAAA